AAGTCTTTCGCCCACTTATTTATTGGGCAGTTGTTTCTTTGAGGATTTGTTGTTGGAGGGTTTAATTTTTTGAGTTCCAAGTATATTTTAGATATTAGGGCTCATTTTTTCTAAAGTTGGTCATGGGGCTTGAACTCTGGGCCTGGGCTCTGTTCCTCAGCTCTTCAACTCTACCACAGTGCCACTTCTAATTTTCTGAGTAGTTTATTGGAAATAAGAGTCTCATGGCCTTTTCCGCCCCAGCTGGCTTTGAACTGCAATCCTCAGATCTCAGCCTCCTGAGTAGCTAGGATTATAGGCATAAGCCACCACACCTGGCTCAAAGGGCTCATTTTTTCAAATGTACAGTGACTCTATTCATGCACCTTTCTTCTCAATTGGTCTGCCTCCCCTCTCTACCTCCCTTTCTCTGCCTTCCCTCCTCTGTCAAGAAAACATGTTTCAGCTTCCTAGTCTTCATTTTGTGGAATTGTTGGTGAGTTGTTCAGAGGAGTTACAAGTTTGTAATCCTTCCCTGAGTATAAAATCCTTTAGTCTATTTGTATGTATATGCTTATAACCCTGTATATGTTTTTGTATATGTTTATTATATGTATATGTAACTTCCATATATGAAACATGCACACTAAAAGGAATGTAAACAGAGAGAAATGAAATTCTTTTAGAGAAACTATTCAAATTTTAATGTTGCATTTTAATAAGGAAAACATTGAAGGTTGTTACTGTGAAGAGGTTGTGATTTAGGACAATTTAGGCCCTGTAACTTTTAGTTTTTAAAGATATGCTTCTTTGTGGTAAGAAAATAGTGCTATTTTTTCAAGTCATTAAGCACATCCTGCTTTGTGATTTGTAACCATGTATTAGGGATTTCACCTTTGCCTTTAAATTTATACTTGTACTTTTCTTCTAGATTTGATCTGAAGTGTGATATAAACCACTTCCAGTATGGCTGTGTGGATAAATCTGCAGTGATGCTCCAAGTGGCAAAATCTCCTCCTGCCTGTCTATAGTTTTTAAATAGGAATTTCCGGTCATCATCCAAAATCATGTAATCATCACTGGCTACTGAAGTAGAACAGGAATCTATGACAAAGTTGTCTGTTTTATACCAACTCCATCCATTGACAGCCTGAGGACGATGGAAAGGAACACTGTGGTCACCGTCATGATTAGGAATTGTGTTAGTACAAATTGCTCTGCATATGGGACATTGTTTCCAGCAGCCACAGAGATGTTCAGAGAGAATTTCCTCAATTTTAGGAACCATCTCATGTATAGGCAGACCTGACAATTTCTC